GGTACTTAGGAATCATGTGGGTGGTCCAACATAGTTCTAGTGACGCGTCCCTCAGGCGCCACAGAATCGTCTTCTAGCTTCAACTGGATACCGAAGTCATAGATGAATTTGTTTATGAAAGGCTTTGGAGAATAGGGCGTTAACAAACACCACTAATTCACCAAAAAATCGATGGTGCTTCATAGACGATATCTTTGTAATTTAAAGCAATTAGTACCATTTCTTGACCGTCTAATTCACAGGAATTGGGGACATTAAATATATAACTAAAGAAATGGTATATTCCACGCCAGTGCGAAGCACAGTCCAACTAGGTGGTCATTGTTTACAGCATGATCGCATAAAATAGGTAATTGCTCACGCTTTATACAATGGATCGCAAACGAATTTTTTACATTAGTTGACAGGTTTAAGGTATTAAAGAACTTGATAAACTGGAAACTATAACAAATTCAGATTTAACCAAATGTTCGAGTAAAATAATATGACCATCCGTGACCTTGTGCTAGTGTAGTAATATGGCAAGTTAGCCATCACCTGTTAACAAGTATTTTCTATGGGCTGTTTTTATGCGTCAATTATTGGCGATGTGGCCTCAGTCTGTTCCGTCATGCGGATAATTCGATTATGGCACTTTTTTCGTCACTCGCCAGTCAGTCGGTGGCAATGCGTCTTGCATGCGCATATCTTTTATTTCGGAAGGTTCAATCCGTCACCTCAGGAGATTAATCCAGTTGTGGCCAACAGTGAAATAAGTACGAATATGAAATATACCAACTATAATAACGGTAATGTCAAGAACTGTAGAAATATCATGTTTCACAACAGCGCAAACTAAATCGACAGATCATACAATTAAATTACGCGGCGGGACAGCCAGAGGCAGATAACTGCCCGAATTATCCATAGGCAAGAAGGTTCTAAGAAGAATTTTCTGAGTCATAATCAGTAGCAGGTATTCGAACGGTAGAGAATCCGATTTCTCAATATATCGCAGGCCAACAGTGATTGATGCGGTACTCCACTACACTTCGGATCATCCGAAGTAGATTTACGCTGGGATAGTCTCATCGCTGTTGTGCAAGGCACAAATTCTGTGCACGATGAAGGAGGACAAAGTGGCAGCGCGGAAAGTGGCAATAGGCAAATCATTTCATAGTGGCTGCCCACGGCAGCTACTCAAACGCCAGTCACATTATATGCTAAACCAACGAAATTTCGTAAAGGGTAGGCACTTCGAAAGCAATTCGGTTGGTAATAGACAGGGATATCTATAAGGGTGATCTTCCATCGGCGCTATTGCACTTGGAGAACTCCTTTCCCGCTGATTAGGTAACTGACTGCGTCGTTAAAATTAGGTGTAAGAATTGTGCACATGTGTACACAGGCTAAGCTGTGAGAGAGGTACGGGTCAGCGTACAAAATGCGCACTTTACACCTGCCGACGAACGAGTTTGAATGCAAGGCACTACTAAGACGCTTAGCCGTGGCTATGCATGCATTAGACACAGATCACACCAGATCGACTTGGATAGCGCAGTGATTGACAGGAGGGGTAGATGAGCAGTGCCCAGCGGTTGGTTGCCCAAACGTTGGAAATTGCTAAGTCGGACAGCTGTGTGAATAGTATGAAGGGGTACAACTCTCAAATGCCTGGCGAATGATCTTAATCCGGCCAGTCTGACGAGCGTCGACTTGCGCATCAGATTGAAAAATGACACCCGACTCTCCATTGTCACCACCGTGATCCCATCTGTTAATGCCATGACGCACAAAGCGACACCTGCACTATTCCCACTGTGGTCAAACTACTTGTGTTGGCATCCAGCACTGAATACAGTAATAACACTGCTCATGTCTGCTATCGCGATTATCGTCCCTGTTCGCTATAAAATATCGCTCTACTTACATACTGATTCACGTGGCATGACGAAGCATTTGTGTCAAAAGTGAAACGTTGTCAAGCAAATACGCCAACCGATTCGAATGCAAATCGGATGTTGTCCGCCGTAAAAACCAACCAATTGTTTCGAAACATCTCTGCACTCATGACTTATCGATCGGTTCCAAGTATCACAAGATTTTAAAATCAAGCCTAGTTGATTTTCTGAACGAACTGATCGCAGTTCTGCCGAGCCGGATGATTAGGGTTTCTGTCTAATCTAAGCCTGTATATAAAGACGGACCTAAACATGTGATGACACTAGGCGACGTTTTGCAAAGTTCCACCCCCAGTGCTTCTTTCTCTTTGCATCGGGCTTGTCCGTTCAGTTGTCGACAAGTTCATCTTTGTGAGGTCGCCGCCTGATACCGTACGCAATTCACAAACTAGAATTTGCGCTAAATTAACGCATGAAAACGAGGCTGCTGTGTTCAAGCTTCGAGTCAAGCCATTTCGACTGCAGCCACATACTTCTACATAGTGCACTTTGTTCCGTTGCCTCGTGAAACACGCCACCTGGTGGCATCTGCTTATTTGGCACAGCTGCCTTTGAACCAGTGTACACTCTGAATGTGTATCTGTGTACTAATGACATAATCCCCGTGGATGTCTGTGATGATTCTTTAAACGCCAACAGTCTGGTTGTGCACTAACTGTTGTGGGTTATTCCTACCGTTTTTGTTGGTAATGAGTCGACAGTCGCTATTCTACATTATGGCCACATAACCGGAACATATTTCTCTCGTCCGTGATAGCCACAGTGCTTCTGTGCAACCCTTCCCATTATTCACACCTATAGTAGCAATCTGTGTAGATTTTCTGAAGGATACTTTAGAGACAATCGCTACTTTTCACGTGACTGGGAAGCATTTTGGGGTTAGTATACTGAAGTGGTTAACTGCCATTGATCACCGTGACACAACTGGAATCAATGCTATTTGTATTCGCCCGCTGGTGCCTTATTAGCATTTTAGGTTGATGTTCATTTTGAAAGTTGCATAGCAAGTTGGTTTTGTGCTTCTTTTTTAGTGGTACCATGCTACGGTTAGGATCTGCTTTTGGGGTTGCGCATGAGGTCCTCGCCGGAGATCTTAGTTAATGTTTATGTTTTTGGCCTTAAATCGTAATCTTTATCTTTGTCTCACCATACTACATAGCGTGAACTTGCGGATAATGCGCTTGCGGTTGGTTCTTTAGTCTTAAAACTCGCTTTGATACCACTTTTTGCCGTAAGTTATGGAAGGATTCGCTATGCCGGTAGTTCATTGTTACTGTTATCGAACAAATCTAGACAGTTGGATACCTTTGGTGAATGTCGACACGAGAGTCTGCCTACTGTGATTTGTCTGCATTAACCACAGCGCACTCACTCTGCATACCACGAGTAGCGTAAAGTCTATCTACCGATTCCAGGACAAATAAACCTTTACACGACTGTTTATATGGGTGGAAACATTATGGTGTTGCTCATCCCAACACTGGTTACCTCACGACCGCGGTTTCGTCCTGGTTGGGACTCATCAGGTGGAGATAGCCTGAGTTGGGCTGGAACTCAGAGCCTAGTGGCTCATGCTTGACGCCGTATGCACTATGCCACTATGATGAGTCCCAACCAGGACGAAACCGCGGTCGTGGGATGAGCAACACTATAATGTTTCCATTTTACTTACGGTCTTTGTGATCGGAATGACCGAGGTCCACCTCAAGTGAACCGAGCTCCCAATGGACGTTGCTTGTAGCAACCCAACCACACAGAGGATTCTCCAAGTCCAACTTTGTTTATGTACGGTTTCTCCTTTCCTGTTTCGTTCGTTCGTTTGTGTTATGCTACAGGCGACATACTCTTTCTGAACCTTTCGGTAGTATTTTTTACTTTCTTGCTTGTTTTGCTCGTGTGCAGCATACTAGCAGAGTAATTAGTATGTACAAATACTCCGGTTCCGCGTCCTTACCTTAGTAGTTGAAGAAGATCGTACTTAATCATACTTACTTCCCATTAGAGGCGATAATGTGGCTTTGAGAGCTAGAGAAGTGTGTCTTTGGGATAATGTGATTTCTCTATCGCGTCGTTAACAGCAGTGTGTATACTTCCTTATTTCTTCTTTCCTGACCTTAACATTCAACAACTCTTAAGAAGAGAGATATGCTTCAAGCCGTCGTATGCCTGATTTCGACGGTAAGAGCGGTGTTGTTTGCGATAGATCATTTATTCCTTTTCCCGTTTTCTCACATTCGAATGTATCCTTTTCTACCTGCATGAAGTCATCTTTCTGATGCCATGGTCTACTTAGCTCTTCACATTCGTTACAGGTGTTTTGCCACAAACTCACACCTCCGTGCTTATATGTAACCATTCGCTGCGCGTTTCTCATCCGATATCGATTCGGTGTCTCTATGCTTCGCACTTGTGCATGCGCATCCAACATACCAGTATTCCTCCCAATTTCGATTAGGTCATCGACTTGCTACTTTGCATAAGCGGCGAAACGTGACATTGCGCATATCTTTTGTTGACCTCCTAATGTGACCCTTGTCTTCCTGCTCTCACTGCACTTAGTATTCGCTTGTACAGCCAACTTTTGGAGGTGTTTTGATTGGCCTGCGAGTGGTGTCGATTGCTTTTTAACCTTTTGTTATCTATACAACTCACTTGACTATCAGCTTTGTACGCTCGTGGAAGTATCTGCGCAGTGCGTTTTGTTCGAGTGCGTTATATTGCTTAGCGATACAATTCAGTTTGTACTAACTTGCTTGCTTTTCTGTACTACCAAACGGAGATTATTTACGTAAGATGTATTAATGCCGCTTGCTTCTCCAACATTCTGCGTTTTCCTTTATTATCTGATTGCGGTTTTGAATTAACGTATTACCCAAGAGACTAGTCAGTCCGGTTTTGGTTTGTAACAATCTTTTCCGTTTCTTCAGTGTAACGGATATATGCACCACTTTATATTTGGCATTGCCAACGATTATCCTTAGTTTTCCTACAGCCCGTGTATTTTCACAATACTATCTGTTAGTTGTGACTTTAATCTCTCTTTCTGTTTTTCTACCGCAGTCATCGATGCTCCATGGCCGGAAAAGATTTGAATCGCCGATGGATCAATCCCTCCGCGGATCTTCATCCGACAATTTTCCACACGAAAAAGCTGTTGCAGTTGCTTCACGTATGCGGACGTCAGCCCTACGTACGTTGCCGAAGATGCACCAGCTCCCCTCCCTCTTGTCCCGTCTACTTGCCATCTGTGTGGGCGCATAGTTGTCGCAATTAACCCTGGGCAATTTCTACCTAGCACTTTCTGATAATCAGCGATCGTCTCAACAGGTAAACTGACATTTCCATCGGTACCGGGCCGCAACAGAAGTCGTGACTCTGAAGGCCAACCCTAGCATCTACTCTTTCAAGACATGCATGATAGTGGAGGATGGGGCACGCTATATCGCAGTTTGTAACCAGTTATGGTGGTCCTCTACTATCATCCATGACTGAGTGGCTTAAGACACTGGCTTGTAAAAATAAGGTTATGGATTTGGACCCCTCCAGTATCCAGTGGCTTTGTGCTACTGACGAGTTTCAATACGAGAAACGGCTGTCTAGCGCTTTTGCTTATGTCTGGCGACTCTCTTCCAGAGTATGGCTGTGGGGAACCTCTAAAAGATCCAGTCATGTAACCGATTTCTCCGCGCGACTCTGGGTCTCATAGCGCCGCCTACTTCGAACTACAGAACAGATTCGTTCTGCTATTCTCTTAATTAGTTTAGGCAGCACGAAGCTTCCTTGAGTCATCGTCCCGAGATTTGGCACGGTTTAAATTCATCACATTGAGCCATAGGCGATCAGGCGAGGTTTCCGTTTCATGAAAGGGCGCCTCTCATTGGTTTCCTTTATGTATATACTTCACTATACGTTCCCTGGTTCACCCATAACAATGATACTCCGGACCGGCCTTCTTTCTGATGCGGTTTGGCTGAATACTACGTACTGCGAAAAACACTTCAGAACTGATTGCGCAGTTGCCGTCTGTTATATGCACAGACCCTCACTTACTAGTTCTTCTCGTTTTATTCCTTTCCACTTCATTAAAAGACTCGCATTTATTTTTCATTTCGTTGTTGTTTTTCATAATCTTTCATGGGTTATGAAAACTCATGTGGCCCTTCTCTGTATATACATTCTGCAGCTATTCATCGATTTTCATGGGCACTCGCGCATGAAGAATATCTTCCTGTACGGATGCAGCCCACTGGAATCTTGGATAAACCCGGACACGCGCAATCCAGCCTCCGTTGTTGGACCTGGACTTCAGGAAGACCGCTCTTATCGTCATTTGGCCGAGGTGCTTGACACCGTCTCTCCTGCTTTCGCCAAACATTCTTGCATGTTAGTCTCATCGGTTGCGATAATTTCCGAACACGGTTGAATACGGTTTACGCACCTTTCCAATTACTGACACTTCACTTTTACACCATGCTGGTTCTTATTTAGTGTGGACCATGATTTTGTTCAGTACTTTCGACTGTACGCTCTCTTTTATTGTGAAGGAAAAACAGTTCTTTTTTTACCGCTGTATGGCCCATCAAAATGCTCCTCCTCATACTGTCACTGATGTAACTTGTTATCGCTTCGAGATTGACACCTCAACACATAATGGATGTTTTCTCCAGAGCGCAAACAATTCCGGTAGGATACCACACTCAATATGTTTTCCGAGCTTTTACCATCGTGTTCCACTCTGCGTTCCGACGGTTTCGACGGTCGTATGGTGCAGGGATGGGAGAGAGCCACACCGAAACACTCCACTTCGGTGACGATCCCAGTGAGACCGTATTGGCAGAGGCTGACTTCAAAGTCAACCGAGGCCACGTTGAGGTTGCGTGTCACAATTCAAAGCACACGGCGGGTGATCCAAAACCCGGAAATCAATTCACATGCTTCATCCGTTATGGTCCCACTGATCGAATTGGCTAAGGCTCACTTCAATGGGAATCGCGGGCTACATTGAGATTGCATGTTGCAATCTATTCACACGACGAGTGTTTCAAAATGACTCACCAACCAATAATAATTTTGCTTAATTTGCGCTGTTATATTAGGTGTATTTTAGGAGTCTCTTTTAATCCCAGCTTATTTTTCACTAGGGCTGATCATTCTCTCAGTTGAATGGCTTTTATTGTTATTCGCTGTCAAGAGTGCACACTGCTGCTGGTCTCGTCCTCGCTCGCACTGTTCCGGTGGAAACAAGCATGCCTGGAATTGGAGCCCGGCACCCGAGTGACGCCTTTACTCCATGGTGCTGTGTGAGCTCTGGGGTGTCAATCACTACATGTCGGGTACTACTTCCACTTTCAAGTAAAGACGAACCCTGTTCTAGAGTGCATTATTTAGAGCAGGTAACATTAAGACTCCACATCGAATGCTGCCCTAGTGCTTGAAATGACGTAGATTTACTTCACAGTTAACCATCGTCCCATTAAAATTGTGTATCGCAATCCGACCAGTTCCTCTAAAACACCATTGATATTTTGCTAGTTCAAAATCCAATTTCGTATAATTTTTTACACTGAGAAGCATGGTTAGAAGACGTAAGATGGTCGATGCGTGCATTTCATGTCGTCTCGTTAGTGCTATTTATATAACCTACGGGCAATTACAAATCTGGCTGTGGCCAAACACTTTTAAATTTCAGCTTGGATGCTTGACTGCAGATACAATTTCATAGGCAGAATACGTTCAAACATGAGCTCAGGTTGAAATTTAAAAGCATCCCATACCTGTTTAACCTCCATGCTCCTGCACGCAGCCAGCTCCCCCAAATAGACAAGTGCCTTTGGACCACGCGTCACCAGATGTTGCCCGGATCATCGTGCAAAATTATGTTGTATCACACTCTAATCCCTGCTTTACTCATTGTTCGGGAGATATCGCCATAAGCCGTGTGATGCATCTCTGTGTGATTGCACACAATTACACTCCTACTTGGACGTAAAAGCTGAGCGTCGTTCATTTTACACCTCAAGGTTGTTTATTCACACCCATCGTTATGCACATATATCCATATGTGCACTTGTTAATGCTGCTGAGTAGACAACACGAATCACATACATTTACTGCTTCCATCTTCTTACCTTACATTTCAACTTGTTGAAGAGAATTAATTGCTTTAAACCGCGTTACAACTTCGTTTTTTTTCCTTCTAGGTACGTTGTGAGCAAACCCAAAGAGACCACAGCTCGCGTGGCCGTTTGGCGCGAGTTTGACGTACTACGCTCGTACACCATAGAGGCGTCGTACTGCGGCACAACGCGTTACCTCGGATCGCTCTCCGATGCGATAGAGTCGAAGGATGTTCCAGACGGACACCAGCTGAATCCAGTGCATTTGCGCGCTTTTGGCGCGCAGTTGTTGGACGCTGTGGCTGCACTTCCATCTTACGATGCGCAACATCCCTGTCTCCCTACTCAAGCAACAGAGACTTCGTCCACTATGGTACAAGAGACAGTCCCTTGCATTTCATCTACCACTCAAGGCATTGACGCTCGGCTCGAACTCGGGTCGACTGCCATTGTGGATGCAAACGACCACAGCGATTCACTTAGCAGTTCTGTATCCACTATATCCTCTGCTTCATCCAGCGTCAGCCTGTCGTCAAGCAAGGGCTCCTCGACTAGTTTCCACGAATGCACCAGCGACTAATTCTGTTTGGCAACATTTGGTTCGGTGTAACTCACCTTTACATTACTCGGGGAAGGACTTTCTTGATTGACCTACTTTCAAGTCATTGTAGCTCTCTTAAGTGATCAGTCCCGTGTGGGCCACAATCCGCATTCTCTTTTCTTCTAGTGTGCTTTATTTTGCCCCCGAACTTGACTGTTTCTCTGAGGAAGCCCAATTCTTTGTTACCAAACACTCGTCATCCATGAGCTGTTCATCCAAATTGTGCGACGCTCTGGCGGTTGGTATCCTCGACTCTCCCAGCTACCGACTGATGCTTGCATACGGAGCGCAACCCAGGCCCCACGTACCAATACAATGTGCCCGCATCACCTGAGTTTTCTCTGATTCGGCGACGAATGAGTTGTGCATGCTTGAATTTATCGTATTCTCGGTGCTCAGTTTTATTGGTTTTCAGAATTTTACTCCAGTGTAAGTATGTATTGCCTTATGGTGTACATTGTCTTTTTGACATCTAGCTCTACTTCTCACGAGTCTGCTGACTTCATGCTTGCACGTGAACCAACTGCCTTTAGTGACCAACCGGAGTTTCAGAATGGACTAAGTATGACCCTTCTACTGCATGCAGTAACTTGTGGCTAGTGCTCTACCATGCTTCGTCGGACCCGTTATTCCATTGCTGAAGACATGGCAGGGTATTCCTACAGTTGAACTTAGACGAATATGATGAAATCGTTATATTAGTACTTAAATGCAACGCGTCTGACTGTTTAGACCCGCGTCTCCATGTCGATACTTGTTGAGACAGATGAGAAAAAGTCCGAGTAAAACAACAATATTTCCATGAAAAGTCAAATGGGTTGGGATCTCTAACTGTGAGGACGTACAGCTGCAAATAAGAGAGTGCGTGCAGACGCGCCTCTGGTTTCCGGATTGTTCGATGGAATAAGTTGTGTAGCAACCACTGTAATAGAAATCTCCTGAGTAACAAGAGTGTGTACAGCCCTCTGATCATGTTTCATTGCTTTCCCCCTTCCCGTCGAACAAAACGTAGCACCGACAGGTGCCACACGCAACTAGGAACTTGACCTGGCTAACATGGGAGGTTTGTTTTATCAGTTGTTTCCTAGTTCAGTTTATCCCAAACAAAGTTGCGACGTTAGAAGTATTCAATCTTCTTACTGAACATGTTCCATACCGAATATGTACCCACTATATGGATAGCTAGCAGGTTGCACGAGCGAAACTGAAGCGCGACTAGTGGTCTGGATAGCCCATCACTGCTACTGGCACAAACTGACTATATGTGCACGGGCCGGGTGAGCAGATTAGAGTTGATATTATGAGCAAAGCCCAACTGCGTTCTAACGAAAGTAAGAATTGTACATGCAATAGCGAACGTGCATGAGCCAGTGAACTCAGGCAGGTGGCTGGCCATAAAAGTGGGCTACTGTACTTAGAGCTAAAATATTCTGTACCATATAAAATGACCTTTCGTTGCTTAATTGCATGTTTTCGGATCACTGCACAGTCTTCCTTTTAAGTCTCGAAGAGCTATGTCGACACGCATAATTGAAGTCAAGCATGCTCTTCATCTCTTCAACGGGGGATCTGACAAACTGTTGTTTCTGTTGGTGGTTATGTCTGATATGTGCGGTCACATCTGGCGGTTTGACTATCGGCGGAATGCCATTACTTGGGTGGATGAAATCATCGACCAATTCTCCTCGTGGGAATCTGTGAAATGACATTCGATTTTGTAAAAGCAGTTTGCACTTTAAAAACATTTACGCCAGCCCATTCAGCTGCAGTTACATAGCGATTGGAGCCTATCCACAGCACTTTTTTGGTCTATCACATTAACCCCACTTCAGAAGATACAAGCAGGTCATTCGTTCTTTACTATTCCCATCATAAACATTGAGTAGAAATGGCAATCAAGCCGCCACTACGCGCCCGGTTTTTTACTAGTCACGTGAATCAGTTTTCCTTGGATTCTTGCAATACGCCTTGATCGGCAGTATACAGATTTCATAATGGAAGTGGTTTTGTGTAATATCCCTTCACTTACCGCTTGTCAGCGAAATATATTAAAGATTCAAACCATATCCTACAATACCACGATTACTATCTCAAGCGCGCCAATGTGAACCTTTGACGGAGCATTCTCATCTAGAACCAAACCGGGTAATGGTGTCGTTATTGTTCACTAACTCATTTGAACATTCCAAATCATTCCTGTCATGCCCTCCGGCATCACAGGAATCCGATACTATCTAGGGTTCTTGAATCGAAACAAGGAGTTTTGACCTGACAGTATCCCTCCACAGTTAATGTGAAGGATTGTGGAGATTTATTTGTGCTCTAAGTATTCTATCAAACTCCTGTTGGAATGGGTGTACGTCAAGTTTCATTATATTTTGAGAACTACTGGTGTTTGGTCTATTGCATGTACCTAGAAGCTACTCACAGACATCATTTTTCATTGGTCCACTGCTGCTCTTAGGATTCTAATCAGTGCAAGCTAGGATGGCTTCCGTCCCGTGTGATGATTATAATTGCTGACATACTTGCACTTCATTGAATGATGGAGCTGTGAAGTGTACGGATGTTCTACTGTGGTGGTCTTGTAGCCTTTTATTTGGGACCGTGTGAATACCGACGGTCAGAATCCCTGCAATTTCTTAAGGCAAGTTAACTGTTCAACTTCTCTCCCGTCTTCCAGTTTTATTTTGTGGCATATTTGCACCCGACTGGCAAATATATGTAATACGGGTGACACAAACCCCTATGGATTTCCTCCAGCGTCTGCATAGGCTGACGCATAAGTTTCTAATGTCCTCTGCACCCTCACAGTGGAACGGCCGATATAACTGATTCTCACAATTACCAGCAACCCGTCCTCCTTCCCATCGCACCGAGACTGGACCTTAAGGTGTTGGGATGTTTGTGTACCTCATCAATTCACTGAACTATCCTGAAGGGTGCTTTTTGCAACTTCAGCTTCATTCATACTATATTGATCAACGGTTAGAAGACAGACTAATTCAGTTTCCTGGTCCTCAAGCTTGGGGGTTGCAGTGAGGGCAGCTCCTCATTCCTTCAAACGAACTCACTGTAGCCCACCGCCAAACTCTCGCTGTCTTGCGGTCAGGTTTTTGAACCAAAGGACTTGGTTGGGATCCTAGTCGTTCTCCTATCTAAGCCTGGGTGTCTTGACAATATCCTGTCCACGCGATACAATTAACTTATTTTCAACAATTCTTGATGCTCCAGCCGTAGCAGTTGACTGACGGCGCCCTTGCTGCTACATCGAGTAGGGTGGATAGGGGTGAAAACGCTACTTCTCAAGCCATCCCATCTTCTTATTCCCCCCTCTTGCACCTGTTTTTCATTATCACCCCTTTCCAACTACACTGTTATCCCCCTGTTTTCAATCCCCCCCCTTCCCATCTTACTTCGATAGTCGCTATTTTCTAGCTCCTACTCACACGCAATCGTAGGGGGTCACTCCGGTCCAATCGACAAGTCCGTGTCCAACCAGACGGACAACATCAGCCAACCGGCCTCTATTTGGAGACTCGATCCTCGCTAAAAGTGGCATGCCTCAACGTGCGCACTTTGTTACGGATTGGCAAAGAGGCAGCACTTGTCCAAACAATGGAGACCCTATCGGTCAATTAATGCTGCTAATTGAAACCCGCGTAAAAGGCTTCAGCTTTGGGCTAACCCTACGATCATCTTCATGCGGCATTGGCAGTACATTTTTCCTGCGATTATCCAGAAATCATGCAGCTTCGAATGCCGGTCAAACCGATGTGGGCATCGCTCTGAATCCCCGTGCTGGAGCGGTCCTGATCGACTGGATTCCCAGATGTGCGCTTTCAGTTTGGATGGATCGTTTAAGCCGGTGCCGATAGTTGCCTTCTGTCACCGCTGCCTATTCCGCCACAAACTGTGACATTGACTCGGGGAAAAATTGCTTCAATTGTCAACTTAACCAGTCCCTGCATCACAAAATGTATACGGATACTCTATTGCGGTCTGGTTATCTGCACCGTCCATTCGAAAAATTGTCCAGTGATGAGCTGCATCTGAGGGACCAACACGAAGTCTCCTCTCGTACTGATAAGGGTAAGCGACTGTTTTATCTGTGTGATGGTGCTCGACTATTTTTCATGCTCACTACTGACTCAGGTGACGTGGCGCGCAGAAGCTTTGGACCAATCATCCACACAAATTGCTCACTTCACTTACTGCTGGAGATGTTGCATCCAAAAGGGTCGCTCGATTTGAGGCATAAGCATGGAATTCGACCTTGAATTTTTTTATATGACGGACGCCCGCTGCTATGTTATGATCGTATACGCACTCGTCACTTGAGAAAATCGGAATTTCTGAAAGCATACCAAATTCCTTTGGCTTTCTGGTTGGGCGTAGATCAATGCACAGAGTTAAAAAGTCACTGGTTTATCTATCACTATTGTACATTTGTGTATGATAGGAATGCGAGAAATGGCGAGGCCATTTACAAACTGCGTTTTCCGATTCTCCTGCTTGACATTTGGAGTCATTCATCACCATGTACTCACTGTTCGCTAATATTCACGCATGCGACATTCCTCGCTAAACTTGGGTGGGGAGCTATACTGATTGAAACTAGCTGTCTTTTGATGCAAAATCGCATGGTACTCTACCACAAATTTTTCGTCCTTCAGCCTTGACTCACTAAGACTAAAATAGCATGGGTCCAATTGGTTTCGAACTCGGACCTTGCTTCATACAGAAGCGGTGGAAGGAACCTAGTTTCCTGGCGCTGGGCCCTTCCTAATTAATTTGGCGAACATGTATGTGCTTTCTAATTAACCAAAGTGAGCAGCATTCAAGCACTTTAAGCTAACTGGCACGCGACATACCCCACCTCTTACTTAACGTCCAATGCGGCCGTTTATGTAAGCACCTGGCAGACTACGAGATCTCCGCACTGATTTAATTAAATGAATCCACCAATCAACAAACCTCGCATGACCACTAGGAATCACTCGATCCACCCAACGATAAACGGAAGTCCTTGGTCGATGTGCCATTACTATTCACTTATGAAATCTGAATAGAAGCGCAAGAACACCGGCTGGCTTACCCAACAGTCTCCTCTTGGTACCAGCTGGGTTGTTCGGAATTAACCGCTTCCATCCAATGGTTCGATGACAGTGTTCCAGCTCTTGGTTGGTTTTCACCCGGCAAGCGTTCTCCCTATAGCAACCCACATATGTCCGTTTAACAACACTGCGTCGTAGCGGATGTGACGCGCCACGGAATAAAGTCGCTGCTTCCTGTTTCACTACTGTTGAGCCTTGTATTCCTGCAACATGCTGCTATACCTGTGGGAGGATTGGCTCCCTGACCACTAACCTCGAAACTGCATGTCACTTGAGTCTTTATGGTGACCCGGAAGCAGCCTCAGCGAGTTTTGCTGGTTTAGATATGGCACTAAGTGGCAAGGCCGGGGCCGC